CCCCCCGGCCGGCGGGGGGGGGGGGGGGGGGGGGGGAAGAGACGGAGAAAGGGGAGAGAGATTTATGGATTGGAAATTAAAACTAATTTAATAAAACAATAATAACGAAAAATAACAGTCATAGCAGTCTCTCAGGGCAGGAGAAATGATATGATATTTGGCATGGTTTGTGCCCATGGGTTGCGGATTAAAGGTGTCATCTTCTAGAAGTTACTGGACACCACTGATGAAGCTAGCTATGTTTTCAGCATCGTGGTGTTAGCCTGAAAGACACTTAGTGAACACTGTTAGTATTATGTAGCAATTAACATCATAGAATTCAAAACTGAGTATTCTCACCTAGAGTCAAATCATCTTGTGGTACACATTGAACTTCACCATCCTTCAGCATCATCCATCAAGTAAATCCAGGCCCCTGAGCAAAAGCAATTCTGTGAATGGGTTTGCCTTCACCAGAAGCAGGAAAAACCCAGACAGTTTTCCCCAGCATATTCCTTTCATACACCACAGGGACTTTATCTCCTTTTATCGTAGGTAAAAGGTCTGACTGAGCAGGACAATTTTGTGCTTTTTATTTTTCAATTTTTTTTAAAAACAGTTCAAGCTCCCACCGAGCCCCCTCAGCTTCCAGGAAAGTGCCCTGAATCAGAAGGACACAAGTCTTGGATCCCTTTCCGAGGTCATTGCTACTATATTGAATCTTCATCTACAAGAAACTGGGCCCAGGCATCTTTAGAATGTCTTCGACTAGGTAAGTATCCTCCTTAATCAAAGAGCACATGTTTCTGGCTTGCTTTCCCTCTCTGTGGAAAGCTGAATATGTGCTATGTATTTTTGTGATTTCAAGGATGGTCCAAGTGTTGGAAAAGCGAGTTGTGTCCAGTTATTGCCTCAGTTTGAGAGGAGATGGAAAATAGCTGTCTACCAGTGGCACACACTGTCTTTCATGTGTGTGGGACCAGGCATTAGAGGAGCCATGTGGCCTGGAGTAGAGATGACAGAAGTGGAAACTTTGTCCTCTGACCCTGCTAGGAAGTAGTCAGCCTCATCCACAGTAGTCATTAAATGTTATTTTAATGGCATTTTATATCTTTTGTATTCCTGATCTAATTTGCCCCTTGATTATTGCAGTTTTATGCCACTGGAATGAAAGTTACAGCTTCTAAGCTGTATAATATATTAGTAAACTAGAGTTGTTGTGTTGTTTCATTCTCGCAACTTCCTTCTCTGGGAAAGTGATATAAGATTCATTATGCTAGACTTTATATGTCTATAGCATTAGTGGCAATGCAACTTAGGTGTCTAACCTCCCATTAGAGTACGCAGAGATCTTGTTCATGCTGTCAGCAGAACTGAGTACAGATTCATCTTCACTGGAAGTATGTATCAACATTCGGTCAGGTGAATTGCACCCTAAACTCCACTGACTGGATTGATGAGGTCTCCATTGATAATAAACCTACCAGTCAAACTCGTGTCAAATACAGACACCTAATGCTGAGTAAGAAGAATCTCACTCTTTCTGCTGGTACTTAGGCTCATTCTTGGGTTCTCATAGCTAGTATGTTGCCAGCTCTAGTTTCGGAAACTAGTATTTTTAAGGGAAAGTTCAAGTTTTGGTGTATGTTTTTTAAATCTTACTATATTCTCCACATCCACATTTGTGTAACATTTGGAAGAAGGTACTTGATAATACACTTTTAAATATAGAAAAGTCTCCATAACAGAACACTCTGGCTGTAGCTCAGTCTTTAAGACTATGACAAATGATACATTGTGACCCATTTCTATACAGTCTTCTGAGTTCTTTTGTTGACAGGACAGATGCTCAGTCTTTGAAAGCTGCAATGTATATTCTTAGTCAGGCATAGTCAAAAAGACCTTGACAGCTGTGCACATAACACCTGTTACATGTTATCTGCAATTCTCTCCTTTAAGTGGAATGATTATAATTTTGAATAAGCTTGTGTGAGAAATTAAGTAACATTGCATTTCTTTGGAGGACTGAGTTTCTGCAATAGACTTTCAATAAGAAAAGTGGGACAAATAAAGAGTTTTAAGGTGAAATTTTAGAGGAATTGCATGATGATGTTGCATGCGATAGCAGGTGCCTCCACCCACTGACTCATGTTGTCCACAGCTGCCCCACATCTTTGTTGTTGGAATCTGCAGTTACATCAGAATTGCCTTTTTCTGTTGAACTAAGATTCCTGAAAAAAGGCACTGACCATGTATTTCAGCGTGTGTGGTAAAAGAATGACAGTATGTGGAATTTAAAATTTGAATGCTAGTATACTTAAGACTTCATGTCACTGACAGCCCCTTGCCTTCAATGCTAACCTTAATCTTTCATGGTAATTGTTAGGGCAGGCTAAATCCAGCAGCTCAGCAGAGGCAAGGCTGCCATAACTCTATGCTCCCAAGTCCAACCAGTGACAAGGCTGAAAATGAGTTCCTTGTATGTGCACACACACACATATAAAACACATCTATACGTGTATTTGTGGCTGGCCACACAGATCAGCACAAACAGAAACACAGAGCGCTCACGTGAGCACAACCTGCACCAACACCCTTATTGTGTTCCTCTCTCTGGCTGATCAGGATGAAGGTCTGTTAGTGGGAGTATATACATAAGTACAATGTGGATCCCTCCAGCAGCTGGACTCAGACACTCAGTTTGCCCAGTAGCTGGCCCATGGATCTCAGTGTCCTCAGTTGCTGCAACCTGGAAATATGAGCACCCATGGCCACCAATCTAGCTCTTGTTGCTGGTGCAGACGCCGTCCCAGCGACAGATACACACTGGTCCTTCCAGTAGCCATGGTTGTGCCCATAGAGGCACAGAGGGGCTTACACACATACAGAACTAACTGGAACTCCCCCGGTCCCCCAGTAGCCTTCCCTACTTGGTCTCACCCTTAGAGATGCATACACACCAGCAGGTCTCATCCTTAGAGACCCGCAGCCCTTAAGATCACTCCAACAGCTGGCTGGGACTCCCCTGGTCCCTCTGATAGCCAGCTCACCTTGTGGTCTCACCCTTGGTGATGCGCACACACACCTGGCTTACCTACTTCTGGCTAGGCTGACTTGTCATTGATCACACACTCACTCATGTACCTGCACTTGCTCCAGTTGCTGGCACCACAGACACAAGGGTGTCTCAGTCACAGTCCCACTCCAGTTGCTGGTACATGCACACAGATGCACACAGAATGAAGAGTCTTTCATCCATGAAAATAGTGAGAGTTTAATAAGAAGGTAGGACTGTCTGACCAGATCAGGTGCGTGGTGTGGCCAGACAACCATGCTGACCAGAAGACTGTTTACACATGATCAGTCTTTTTATTCCCTTAACCCTCTATGTTCCCATGCTTGTTCCTCCCAAATCATCTGGGTCCATCCCTTTCCCTGTCTTTGGTTCCTCCTCTGAATATCTCATAATAAGTCTTGTGCAATCTTGAAATTGCATCTTCTGTATCCCATTGTATATCCCATACCCCTAGGCAGTAACTCTCCTCAGTCTGAAAGGTACTCTGAAATTGGCTTGCCTCAATAGGTTTCATGCCTGGATAAGGGCTGAGGATGTCCTGTGACAGTCCCAGGAGGGGCCTGAGCAAGATGGCCCATCCTCTGAGTCCATAATTTGGGTTATTCCCCTGCCATTGTGCCTCTTTTTTCCTCTGAGCTTATGGAGATTGGTCTTCGATGGGCTGATGGCTCCTGTGATGGGCCTCTGAGTAGCCAGGGAAGGGGTTCCCCATCTGCCATTGTTTCTCTGTGCTCCTTTGTGGATACACAGTGAAGCTTTTCATCACACAGCCTAACAGTAACCAAACATCTGATACCATTCAGCAAAAGGGGAACAATTAGAAAAGCGTAAAGACTACAGTGAAAAAAGAGGAACATTCCATGTTCTTATATCCTGCTGTCCCTGCTTGCACTCTGCATTCTGTTTGCAGTTGGACATTTTCCAATTGTATCTTACCCATAGTAGAATTCTGAACCATAGTAGAATTTATCAGTAACTCAGCAGTAATTCTGATGACTTTTATATTTTCATTCTCTGTAACTGTGCCTTCCTTACCTGAGAAAAAAACACCTTCAAAAATTCAACAGTCAAGGACCAAACACAGCTATTTCTCCATACCTATTGACTGCATTCCAGCCCCACACTAAAGAGAACCGAAGATGTACTTTCTCCAGTGTTCAGTACCACTCCATACAAAGTTGTGTAGCTCATTCTGCCTGCTGGCTCCATGCTGTGACTTCCTGACTTTGCTAGGGTGTCATATAGAATGAATCATAGCAGATGCCTAGTGTTGTATGTGGATGACTAACAGGGTACTACACTAACTGAGCAACAGATGACCGAGATGATCTTTCTTTCTCTGATGGCTACAAAGAGAATGTAGGAAAATAAGACCTGGTTAAAAAGTCACACTAAGGACTGTGTTTCAGAAAGTCAGCAAAGTCTGTGCTATACATGAGCTATACAAAGACTCAGAAAACATTTAATCATTAATGTGTGAAGTTATATTGTGCACAGATTGAAGTTATACATACAGTTTACTAAAATTTTTATTTTTTTTAGAGGTTTGTTTTTTTTTTAAATATTAACACATCAGCAGAAATTTATGGTGGTTATAATATTGGCCTGTTGTAATTCGCCTACAGTTGTTATTCAATTATGTTGCTATTTCCCAGTGGGTGAGGAAACAAACAAAATGCTAGTGCAATGTCATGGAAATGATAAGAAATACTTCAGCAACAACACTGGAGTCCTTCATAAGATATTATCCAAAGTTAGATTCTGTTTTGAACTTCAAACTCGGTTTGGAATTCAGCACAGATAGTCAGTGGCAAAAATAAGACTGACATTTGACAGGACAATGAGAATGCTTTCTACTGTGAAACTTACATCTCTAAGAGATTTTTTTTTTCCTGTGTGTCTCCCAGGTGCTTCTTTGGTATCGGTTGAAGACTCAGCTGAAGCCAACTTTCTGACATACACCATTGAACCACTTGAAGGGAAAACGTCAACTTTTTGGACAGGAATGTACAGAAATGTGGATGGTAATTTCTTTACTTTTAACATCTTTTTGTTTGGTGAATAATTGTCATAAGCTCTTTGACATGGGTTTTGAAAATTTCACATTATACTTCTGTGATATATAAAAAGTAAAATTAGAAAAGGTAATATATTATCATCATAGAGGAAGCTGGTCAATTGTAATCAAGCAATAACCAGTAATACATAACAGAATAACCAGAAAGTTCCTCTTAAAGCAAGAAAAGTAATTCACAACAAAATAAGGCACAAAGGTGCATATAGCAGAGTACAGACAGGACTGTGTTGGGAGTTGAGCCAAAGTCAAATGGTTCTCAAATGTGGAGAGGCCTTGGGTTGATGTATTTGTCACTGAGATACTCCAATTTTTGAGCTAGAGAACAGTGTGGCTAACATGACCTCTAGTCTTTGGAATCACCATCCTGGAATGAGCAGTCACCCATCTTTAGTTACAGCTGGCCCTCAGAACAGCTTCACTTTGAAGCTGGAATTGTTTGTGTCTTTGGAATTGTGTATCAGAAGTCTTTCTATTTTCTGCCTCACTGTAAGAAAGGTAAGGTAAGAGAGAACAGGCAATAGGCTGCTTTAATTAAATCTTAAATTTGTTGATTATTGCTTTTTCATTAGTATAATTAGTATTCAATTAAATAACTATTTCTGTCTTTATGATAGACCTAAGAGTTACTGAAGTCTTCTGCTGTTCAGAGTAAAAGCTCCAGTATAACAATGTCAGAGGCAGGACTGCAGAATTGTTCAGGTGACTTGGGGTGGGATTTTCTTGAGTTTTGGAGTTTTTTTTATATAACTGCCTGCTCAACCACTTCAGTGACAAACTAGTTGGGGAGAAGACAAATATTCAATTATGGTACTTGAATCTGAACCAGGAAAAGTGAAAGTTTTCAGTAGAAGAGGAAAGAATTTGAAGAGAGTAATGATTTATAACCGTAAGACATAAAGAAAAGCTGAGGTTTACTTATGTGGTTAATTGATGCATAAAATGTTTTTTGAAGTGGTCTAGAGCAGGTGCAGAACAGTAAAGTTCTTACAGTGATCATAAACACAAGAGCTACTTCAGCAATTACATGTCATTGTATTACTAGATAGTGATTATAGTGAGTTCAGCATAACTAGATTTCATATCTTTGGAAACATGACTGTATCCAGATGCTATGCCCTGACAGAAAGGGTGGCAGGCAATTTTTTTTTAAAAAAGCAAAATATGAAGAATCTTGTAAGAAAACAAAACATAGCTTTCATGTTGAGTCTAAGAACTTGCTTGTTTAAGTACAACTTAAGAGTCACAAGAGGCACATTTACTCTAAATAAATAACACTATTAAGAGAAAGAAAGAAAAAAAGGAACAGGAAGGAAGTGACAGAAAGTCCCAGCATAGTTGAACAACAGTGATCACAAGATTTTGAAACAGATCTTTAAGAAGGAAAATTGTGTGTGTAAAGTCAGTGGAAAGGAGCAGAAAAACAAATGGAATAAAATTGGACTCAGAAACACTTCAGTGGGGGCTTTGAAAAAAGTAACACAAAACTTCCCCAAAAATTACTGAAATAAAGAGCATTCTGATGAAGATAAATTATGTTTTGACATCAGTAATTTCCATAAATCGAATAAATAGACACTGCATCATTGCAATAAATCGTGGGAGATACTTTAAAATTTCTTGCCTTAGTAACATCATAAGCCAGATTGACCTATCATTTTTCAAAAAATTGATGTTGTATTATTTGCATAAAAATTTAAGGGCAACATAGTGTGTTAGACCAAAAATCTAAATAGTCCAGTGACTTGTCTCCAAGACTGGCCACAAGTAGCTTTCTCAGGAAGGCAATAAATGTGGAGCAGGTGTCAAGATGGAAATGAATCCTGTCTTGGTTTTCCATATTAAATGTTTTTCCAATTAGGAGAATGGCTGTGGCTAGACAACACTGCAGTGAATTTTGTCAACTGGAATGTAGGAGAACCTTCCCCTCAACAAAGTGAGCACTGTGTTGAAATGTACGCAAACTCTGGGTACTGGAATAATATCTATTGCTCTTCCTACAAAGGCTATGTCTGTAAAAAGCCAAAAAGTAAGTGCTAAATTTATGAATTTGTCTTATGAGTGGAGTGTGCTCCTTGTATGCTAATATTAGTAGACGGTTGTTACACGCAGTGCATTTTAGCTGGGTGTTTTGTGGTTTTATAAATGCCAAGGGATGCACGTTTGTATGCCAACAAAAAGATAGAATAACTCTTGTCAGAAAGCAGAAGTTCTGGCCAGTGCTCAAGTTCCTTCAGAATTGTCTTAAAGAGATTGTGTTCCTATATCTTAACTGCACCTAGTGTAGACACTTAACAAGTTTGCCTGTTCTGTATCTATAATCGTTGAGTAATCACAATGTTAGTACTGTGCCTTGCACACACAAATATGTCCCATCTATTTGAAAATACATTCCTTAGGGTATCCCCTCTGCTCAGCCCAGGGAGTACTCTCTGCTTACTTCCTTCTGGCAGTCTCATGTGCATGCATTTTCTGACTATGAAGCAGTGTTTCTGTGAATTGAATGCTTATGAATTGTGAATTAATGAACAGTTTGAGACCTTTTGTATCTGTGTTCTCCTGTTTTGAGAAGATGAATGAATGAAAAGCAAAGGAAATAGCATAGTCTGAATGCGCAAAGCGAGCAGCATAGTCTGAATAAGCTAAACTGAAAGCGTCTTGAAATAACTGAATGTGCAAATTTGACAGTAAAGGCATCTAGTGCATATGTGTTCCAAAAAGTCATCCTAATAATTTCTTCCAGCATGTATAGCAATGTCAAAATCTCTTACTAATGTTTACTGAGAAGAGTGAAATACATGTAGTAGCTGAAATATGCCCACTTCCTCCCCAAGACCGGAAATGAGAGAAATTCTGCTATCCTTTCTCTAAATTTGCCCTCATGCAAAATTATTCTTACTTCCTCAGATGCTTGCAATGACAATGGTATCTTCTATAGGAAATACTGCAGAACTGTCAGATATAACCATCCATTCAGAGTCTACTTACCTGTCTTTTTACATTGTGATTGACAAACAAAAAAGCACTTTATTTTCATTCTCCATCCAGAATAGTCATAGATGTAGGTAACAAGTTTTAAAATCAATGTCCACCCTTCCTTTTCAACCATTCAACTCATCTGTTTGTGCTGGTACTGAGCCATATCAAGGACCTGAAGCAGATGAAAGCTAGTTACTTTTTCTAGGTTTAGCTTCAGCCAGTCTAGCCTCCTGAGCAGGAATACCATGGAGTCAGGGAAACGTCAGTGTCAATGCAAAGACTATATAGTTGCTTACTCAAGGACAGGACACAACCAAGTCCTACACTGTTGTAGAAATGCAGCTTGGCTTGGCACAGTTTTGCAAAGCTGTGATAATTCTCCATTTTCAGAATTGAAAAAAAAATATTAAATAGCTATAAGCTAATAAGTGGGGTCTTAGAAGCATGATTTTACTTGCATTTGCTACGGCTTGTTACATTTACTGTTTACTGAAGAGGCTGCAGACACACAACTGTGACTGAAGCCTTCCCGTAGAGTAGATGCTATTTTCTGTTCCATTTATTGAGGTAATTTTTACCAGAGTAATTTGAAATTCTGTAGCGAGTCTGTTCCATAAATAATCTAACTTTATTTTGTAAGTAAGGAGATACTCTAAAGAACTGTTCAGTAGTTCAACAGGTGCTAGTTGATTGTGCTACAAAAAGTGACTAGGTGTATTATGTTTTGATGATCTTAAAGGTCCTTTCTAACCTAAACGATTCTATGATTCTATGTTCATGGCATCTCACTCTTGCTTTTCAGGAATAGCAGATTCACATCCCTAATTATACTGCTTGTTTAACCTGTAGGTAGGTTTAACATGCAGTCATCTCATACCAAAACCCAACAGTGATGTGCATAATATGCATGATTAGTGCTATACCAAACTTGGCCAGTCAACAATTTTTGGTGAACAAGGAAAAAGTGTCTAGGTTATTATATTCCAAAAATTTTCCAGTCAAATGAAGCAAAGCAGCCAGAGGATTATTTTCCAAATTTGCATAATCTAAATAATTTCCTTCTATTCCTTGTTACATTTCTGAGACTGTTTTTTACACTGTGCTTTTGGACATAAGGTAGCATTAGGACAAGAGGAAATGGTCTCAAGTTGTGCCAGGGGAGGTTCAGGTTTGATATTAGGAAGAACTTCTTCACTGTAAGAGTCGTTAGGCATTGGAACAGGCTCCCCAGGGAGGTGGTGGAGTCACCATCCCTGGAGGTGTTCAAAAAACGTTTAGATGTGGCGCTTCGAGACATTGTCTAGTGGGTTTAGCAGGCATGGTGGCATTGGGTATACGGTTGGATTTGATGATCTTTGAGGTCTCTTCCAACCACAATGATTCTATGATTCTATGACTATCTTCACAGAATCACAGAACAGTTGAGGTTGGAAGGGATGTCTGGGGGTCACCTGGTCCAATCCCCTGCTCAGGCAGGGCCACCTAGAGCCAGTTGTGTAGGACCACATGCAGGTGGCTTTTGAATATCTCCAAGGATGGAGACTCCACAACCTCCCTGGGCAATCTGTGCCAGTGCTCAGTCACCCTCACAGTGAAAAAGTGTTTCCTGATGTTCAGAGGGAACCTCCTGTGTTTCAGTTTGTGCCCATTGCCTCTGGTCCTGTCACTGGGCACTACTGAGAAAAGCCTGGCTCTGTCATCTTTGCACCCTCCCTTCAGGTATTTGTATACAGTGATGAGATCCCCTGTGAACCTTCTCTTCTAGGCTAAACAGTTCCAGGTCTCTCAGTCTTTCCTCACCTAAGAGATGCTCCAGCCCCTTCATCATCTTCGTGGCCCTTTGATGGACTCCTTCCAGTAGCTCTCTCTCTCTCTCTTGTACTTTGGAGTCCAGAACTGGACACGACATGCAACGTAGAAAACATGCAATGCCTCTAGAAAGCACTTCAAAAATGTACAAATACAGAAAGGTCCCAGTTTCCCTGTTTTCCATAGATTTGTGTGCTGGTGTAGTGCAGACAGGTAACAAACTGCTTTTTATTGAAACAGCAGTAATAGATGCTTTTCATGATAGAAACTCTTGGAAACATCCAAGTACTTATGCCTAGTTTTACTCTGAAGAGCTAAATATAGAGTAATATTTGTCTCTAAACATAAAACTAGCTAGGCTAACAGACACTCCAGCAGAGTTCTGGAAAATCTTTGGAAGTCGAGATTGTTGGATTATTAATGAAATCAGGCAATGTAAGTAAGGATTGGTAAAATCACCTTTTTCAGAATGGAACATGATGCATTGATTCAAGATTTATAGACTCATTGTATGTCCACATGGCAAAATATGGATCTTCATCTTAAATGATGGCCCAGTTTTCCCAGCAAGCCAGATTTCGTGGTCCAGATATTAAATTTTAAATGAGCTACAAACATTTTAGTTTGAATGTGATACATGGTAAGACATTTTGGAGTTCATGAGTGATTTTAATTGTCTGTAGGTAGGCCATTAAAGTTTCTTGGCAAACCAAGTTTATTGCACTTGCTGTGTTTGCATCAGATAACAAGTACTGCAAGAATTTGTAATTATATTGAGGATTATGTTAGATCATCTGTGTCCTGAAGATGCTATGTAGATTTTCTTGGGGTTTTACACTGATGTCAGGGTCTGTCTCTGTGGAGCTCTTTGATGTTTCTTCTTTTCTGCTAGTTTATGTAAGTAACTACATAAGAGACCAGAATACAACATCCCATGGTGCTATGCCTGTTGATAGGTGTACATAGCTCTGTACAGATGAAACCCAAGTATTTTCGGTATTTAGTGGTATATACTACCATATATTTCTCTGAATATGATTTTCAATATATTCCAAATATAGAAAAAATAATGAATAATGTAGAAATAAATAACAGAATATTATAATAACACAATTCTTTTTCAATGTTTTGAAATGCCAGCAACTGACATGCCACCAGCAAGTGAAATGCCACCAGCTGAAATGCCTACAAAGGGTAAGAATGTTGTCTTTCAGATAGACAAAAACTAGTCCCATGTAAGAGAAGAACAAATCATATTCTTTATTATGTCTCTTACATGTTCTTATGTACCTGAGTACCATGTCTGTTTCCTAGGAGCATATTATTTCCTACTAGAATACAATATACACCATTCAGTGTCCAAATGCAGATTTAAAAAAATAACAATTTGTGATATAGCATACAATGTTAGCATTTTAAAATCAATTAATTTTATGTTGCTACCTTTGTGTCTCATTATTTTGAAACAAATGAAGCACTTTTGCTTAAAACATCATGCTTTCTAAAGAAATTGTTTCCAGTAATCAAATAAAGAGTATGTAGCGTCCCCTTGATTCCTTTGTATTTGTTTTCAGCAATGACAAAGGATGAGAAGGCTCCTACTCTGACCCATGGTAAAACAGGAGTTGTAGTTATTGTTGTCATCCTCATCCTAGTTGGAAGCAGCCTTGCAGGCTATCTCTTCTACAAAAGAAGAAAGAATCGCTTGTCAACAAATGACAGCTTCGAGAACAATTTGTATTTTAATAGTGATGCAGTTCCTGGAACTAGTGACACAAAGGATCTTGTGACCAACATAGAACAAAATGAACATGCGACACTGTAATGTAATAAAATGAAATGTAATGTAATATGTAATGTAAAATGTAATGTAATAAAATATAATGTGCCTTGTTTTAATAAAATTATGCAATTAGAATTAAGCCAAAGCTATTTTCTCATGCACGAATACTGTAGTAGCCAGTTTCAGTGTGTGCGTAATATTGTATACAGCAGTCACTTTATTTTGTAACCATTGTATAATCTGTAAGATTTCAGATCTCATGATTTGATGATCCACACTGGTGAGTGTGGGTCTTAAAAAAACTTGAGATAATATTGACAAATTATTAAATGGAACAATAGAAATGGATGCAATAAAGGAAGTAAAATGTAGATCCTCTTGAGAAGGCTCCCAAGATTTGAAGTTTCTACACCAGATTTATTTCAAACCATGTTAATGCACAGGTTCTCCAAGCTATTCAGCAAACACCTCTAATTCTATCATCTTTCAAGTATCCCTAGGGTCTTAACTACAGGAGTAGTTGCTAGATGACAAGTCTGTATTTAGGCACAACCTTTTTGAACCTCACAGGAAAAAAAAACTTTTATGATATAATTTCAGTTCCCATCATTTTGTACAACACAGAGGACCAAGTATGTGGTTCTTGTAGTTTATATATTCTAGGATTTAATCAGGTAAAATCAGGGGGCAGGCTTCTGGAATAGAAAAGTGCGGTTGGCATTAACTGCCAGTGTTCTGGCTGGCCACAAGTGGGTTTGTCTGGGAGAGGTGATGAAGGTCATCGCAAAACCTCCTTATCAGGACAACAGCTACAGAGGAGAGGGAGAAACTTTACCTATACCTGTTCCGAAGGTTTATAGGAGCACTGGACAGCTGTTAAGTTGATCACGTTGGTACTGTTCTCCTACAGCCTCTCAATAAATAGCATAGGTTTGTGGGGTGTGTGCTGGAAGTCAAGAGCAATTGAGCTTTACCAATGCATTAGTTACTACTGATTTTATTTCCTTTTAAAAATGGCTAGATCCATTACCATTTATGGAAATCTTACATTCCCCAAAGTAGAGTTTATATTCCTCATTTTTGTAAATCTTGTAAAATGTAAATCATGCACGATTCCTCACTTGCATACAAAGCTTTGCAAGGTTTGATTTTGTGGTTTCAGATTTTGTTCTGTGAAATAAACAGTAACTAGCTTTGATTTTTTAAATAGTTTTTCATTTTATAGTCTATATAAGGCTCTGTAACAGGATAAAATTAAATGAGAGATGATACAGCCATGGAGATGATGATGATGATAAATTTCAACGACAGTTGTGATCAAGTAATATATTGATCATATTTTCCTGAACCTATCCTGGGATTGTCTACTTAAAACCAAGACAAAGATTTCAGCTGAGTGGCTTATTAAAAATCTTGAATTACACATGTGTGTAAGATGGGGAAATTTTTCCTGGAACTGTTTTTCTCTGTCCTGCTCCCTTTCTCCTAGTTATTTCCTTGCCTCTGCTGCTACTGCTGTTCCCATTTTTAAGGCACAGTTGTTTGAGCATGTCTTTTCAAGGAGTAGTACCTCTAACGGTTCTTCACGCCACCTGATGTGGCTTATGTGCCAGAAGCCTCCTGACTGACTGATTAATGATGTTAAGGATGACATTGTTTCTATTATGTGGAGAAGTGGCGCCAGCAAGAAAGGCATGTGAAAAGGACAGGGAAAGCAGTCTCTACCCAAAAGAAGTTCAGTCCTGTCCTGGGGCCCTGCAGTTCTTAAGGCAGTATCTGCACACCGAGTGATTCTTCCAGATAACATTTCATCACATGTATATATGCAAATAGATGACTGGAAGGAAAAAAAAGATTGAGGGGATGTCTCTTTTCCAGTGCTTTGCCATACTTATCAGGTACATCTCTACAGCTAAAAAGTGTTGGGGAGAGAATCCAGCTACTGGAGCCTGGATAGTCCTGAACTCATTCACCCAGTGTACTGTCTGAAATCCAGCATCATCTTTGAGTTGAAGAGAATTAAAAATGGCATGCTAGTTAAGCTGGCAGCAGGGGTAGCTGCCTTTGTGAAATGCTGGATTTGTTCTGCTCTCCTGTCCAAATGGGTACAGAAAAAATAGAGGAGGTTCCAAATGAGAAGGTCTACTCTGAAGATGGATCTACTTGACCTGCTCATTTTAGAAAGAGTGGGAGTGAAAAAGAAAGATTTTCAGAAGAGGAGGAAATTTAAGCTGCATGGTTTACTGTCCATCCCATTGCAATACAATGGAATTGAAGCGAATTTCCCATTAAAAAGAGCAAATGTAGAAGCAGTGGCATTTACTGCACAAAACTCATTGCAGTTGCATGTAGTAAGCTGAAGATGAGCACTGAAACTTTATACACAAAATCTAATAGCAATCTATTTGAATGGAAGGTAGAGAAACGAACAAGCTTGAACATTTTAAACAATCTTTAATTAGTATAAGATTAAATGTAAGTCTTTTATCTAAGGACCTGTAATGACAAAAAATAGGATTTCTTGGGGTTTTGTTTTGGTGGGGTTTTATTTGTTTGTTTGGGTTTGTTTGTTTGGGTTTTATTGTTGTTGCTGTTGTTGTTTTTTCTTTTTCTTTTCCGAGCTAGTACCTTTCAGTGATGGCGATTCATTTGTTAGACTGTCTGAATACAGAGTCCGGTCCCAGATTTTTAACATCATCATTCCTTTGGTCATAGTTGTGACAAAACTGATCATACAATTTCAAGAAAAACTGAGTATCTTCCAAACTGGTATTCTCTTTTCACACCCTCATGTTATTTCCATCTTCCCTGGGGTGAGTTGTGTAATGGTTTTACCAAACACCATTTGGTGACCTGGCATTCCGTTCTCTTTCCTGCTGCTAAGCTGCAATGTTTCTGCCAAATGACTGACTACATGAAAAAAGTTTTGAAGATTGGGCTGGCGAAATTATCCATGTTGCTCTACGTGACTGAAAAAAAGCAGTGTGTCTTCTTGGAAGTGATTCATATTCATATGGATGCAATGTACTATGTTACTTAATGTATTCTGATCCTTCATCAACTCTTTTAGCCATTTTCTACTACCAACTGCTATTCCTATTGGATCAGTCAGTTGCCTTAGAACTGCCCTGTAGCTCTTGTGATCTCTTACTTTGTCTCCTGAGTAGATGCCACTACTTAGAGGAGGTTTCAGGCTGTATGTTGCATAAATATACAATCTCAGAGGAACTGGGATCTTGCTTTTCTGAAATATTCTTGCTGTGAAAACACGGAAAATTGTTCCTTGATAAACAAACTGAAATGTGATGGATAGAAAATCAAAGGAAATTTTTAACTTATCACTAATAACTTATATCCATAGTCCTCTGATTCTTCCAAGATTTATTTTGTTTGATCTTGGAGGTTTAGGTAAATGGAAGAAAAAAACCCCTTAATTATGCAGCATGAAAATATAGCGTGAAAGTACAAGGCCCTTTATGTTGCTCTTTCAACATGTTTTGACCCTGTCTAGAGAAATGGAAAGGCTGTTCATTCTCTGGGTTTTGTTTCAGGCTAAAATGTTTCTACTGAGGTTTAGAGCATGCTTTTTTAAAAAAAACCCCTTGTTTTCAGTTGGAAACTGCGACTGCTATAAGTGGGGATTCTAAGTTGAAATCTTATATCAAGTTACAGCAGGTTAAATGATCACAAAATTCCTTTCAGATTTTAATACCAGTGTTTTTTGAGAATTAATTATTTAACTTTTGTAGGGAAGCATCTGGTTGAACCTAGATGGACTCATCCATGCGTTTCTGTAGGCAGCTGAGGAATGACTTGATGGCAACATTTGACAGCGTGTAAAGGTTCATTTCTTTGCACATTACTATGTTTCTTGACACCCTTGTGCTTAATTTTCATTTCCCCTTTTCTCCAGAAGAGTTCAGACTTCAGAGGAAAGGTGGTGAATCTGTACACTGTGAGTCTAACTTCCTGCCTGGGAACAGAGATTGCTGAAGGAACAATGCTGACTCAACACAAAACCCAGCAGCCTTTCTTCCTTGTCATTTCTGAAGTGTTAGGCTGTGCCTTGCCAAGTGGAAGATCCTGGAGTGAATCTTTGCAATCTTCTGATTTTCTTTCCCGCTTTGCGGACTGTGGTAGGGTCAGGCAAATATACAAACACTGAGGTGAAGCTGACCTTGGTATGTTTTAGTCTTTTTCAGCCTTTCGCAGCAGATCATTGATAACAGTCCTTCACTGAACACCAATCTTTTTACAGAACAGAACTAGTTTCTTTTTCCCTGTCATAATTGTACCTGTTGTATCCTGGAAGCTTTGGAGATGCTGAGATGTTGTGTACAGTGGAACCACAAGGCATTACATTTCTTCTGCCTAAATAACAAATAAGAATACTTTTTCCATCTACATATCTGGAGCTCCTGAACAAGGATGCAAGGAAAGTTGGAAAGTTGAGGTTGCAGAATCAAGTATTCCCATCTTGGGGAGGACTAGAATGCCTTACTTCAGACTTGGTGCCTCCAGCTTTGCATATGCATCGTAATTTACTGAGTAATTGACCATCTGCTGCGTTGTTGAGGCAGCCCTCTCTTTTCTCCCACTTTCCTCAACTCTCAGTGTCCCTCTCGGGCTCCCTTTCTTTCCAAGTTTTTGATCTAGCTGTACCTGTTGGCCTTCAGGTCCCACTATTTTCTCTCACTGTTGTAATTCTTGTTCTGCTTTAATTATTTGTGTACCTTTTTAGACCCGGTGAGTTGTCCATCTGCATCTGAGTCAGAACAATAGAAGCAGTATCCCACATCTTCATGTAGGTGTCCAGGGTTTTCACTGCCTGCAACAGCAGCATTTTTCAGGGAAAGACCCTAAAGAGTATTTGCTGCAAATACAGTATTGAGGAATTAATCCCAAACCAGCCTCTCCTGAAGATATAGGAACTGAAAATTTCCAAAGACAATAACGGAAGATAAGTTAGAAAAATGTAAAGGGTAGGGAAGAGAAAAGGCACTCCTGTGAAAGGTTTACGTTCTTTTACGTATCATGAAGGAGAGAGTTTTTTCAAAGTATACATCAGAATTTTGTCGGAATGCCTGAAGGATGTGCCCTTTAGGGGGTGCAAACTTTCACAGACTAGT